ACATTCAGTCACTGCACTGGTAGAAATGGCTATGTAAAGTATAGCGCAGTGGGGAATCGGGGCCTAGTAATTTGATTCTGCCTGGGCACAGCTACATGTTCATTAATGTGCAGTAGTTGTATAAGCAAGTACTAAATAAATGTGCAGTAACTGTAGTTACTGTACAGTAGAGCTGGCGCACACCTTTTTAGTGACACTACTGCACATTAGCCTAATAATACTGCGCAGTAGTGTATTAGCACTGGTTGTGCTGTGACACGCTACTGCACAGTACTATTAGGCTACTGCGCAGTTAGCATCTAATGTAGACACGTGCCATGTGATTAATTTGGGACAGGAATAGACCTAAGTTAGAACCATTTGGCAGCATCCTAGGATCTGGTTTCAAATATTGCTCCCTTCAAGTTTCAACACCTGTCATGCTCTGAGTGGGAGAAACACAGTGATGTTGGTTCATGCCATTCTGTCATGCACCACTTAACATTTTGGCTCTTTCTTAAAGACCAAATTCCAGAAATGAGTGGACTATGTGAGAATCTCAATTTCTTTTTTTAAAAGAAAGTTTCTAGACCTTATGGTTACAGAGAAAAAAATTAAAATTTGGAAGGCTCAGAGAAATAGAAGGAAAATAAAATGCCCAGTAATTTATTATTTTCCAAAATCTCATGACTTTGAGGGTCTGACTCATGATTTTTGAATGTTTGTAATTGACAAACTTGGGAAAAATCTGGGTCTCATCAGTATAGGAAGGAAAGCAAAGCTGGGGTAGTGAACAAACGTGTGTGTGTGTGCATGTGTGCGCGTGCGTGCGTGCATTATTAACAAAGCCATTTCCCTTCTGTTTTAAATCCATTTCCCTTTTTTCTAGACTCCAGTGGTTTGTGGTTTCTGCTGCTTTCTGGGTTCCTGGAGCTGTAGTCTGCCTGCTAACAATCAGAGAGCTCTGCTGGCCACAAGTTCTCCCTGCTACGGCTCAGCAATCCTCACACACTGGGATGGCACAAGAAACTGCCCCACTCCTGCTGCTTTTCCTCACAAAGCTGGTATCCTCCACCTGGCATGAAGGTAAGTGTACATCCTATGCAGGAAAGCTGATCGATGCCAACTGGTGCTAACAGGCAAGGAGACTAGGATCTAGCTTAGCAGGCCTCTCCCAGGGTATCAGCATACATGAATAGAGCAGCAGTGAACAGCTGTAGTTTACAGCACGGTACAGCAGAAGGAGCAGACTGAAGAAAGTGGAGAAAGACAGCGTGGTTGGGCATCCTAAATTTGCTGGAATCCAGGTCAGTGCAGCACCCCTTTTCCTCCAGGAACCTTGGGAACGGTCATCTGCATCAGAATAAGTCAAGGAGTCTGTGTGATGGAAACCAAAGGAGCCTTAACAGCTTTTTTTCTCTCTGCTCTTCCCTGTGAGGATGATGCAGAGTAGCTTTGACAGGGGTATTGGGGAAAGCGCCATTTAAAAGGGGCCTGCCCACCTGATGTGTGTGGTGGGTTTGCTGAGCATCGGAGGCAGCTTGAGATGAGAGAAAGAAAGGAGGAGAGACAGGGGAGGAGAGGAGGCATAAAGAAATCAGATGCCCAGGAGGCCAGGGCCTGACTGACACGATTGCTCAAGGCAACCTGGGGAGAGCTGAGGTGTCTGCCTTGTTGAGGGTGGGGGAGGGAAGAGAGAGGACACCGGAACCCATTGGGTTAGGAACTCATCCAGAGATGAGTAAATAGCAAACTCCTCATCACAGCTACAATTGTGGGAGCTAAACTTTTCCACTTGTTCTCAGCTTCTGGTGGAACTTTTGGCAGGTTACTGTTTGTCTGGAACAGCTGCACAGTGCATTCAGAGGAAAACCCAAGCCTCTTCCCAGACTGGGCAAAACAACCCAACTAAAACTCCGCAGCCTGTTTGCTGCAGAAATCCAGTCCTTTCCAGCAGCATCCCTGTTATCCAGCATTGCCCAGCTATCAAATAAGAGACCCTGGAGCCTGTAAAGGCCCCTACAATACTCTGGAAGGCCCTTCTCCCATTTGCAGTTTCTTCTCCCACTCTTGCTTTTTTCTCAGAGACTTGTGATACTTTAGATCCTCCCAGCTCTGTTACTCTGCCACCACACTATATCACTAAATAAATACAGGCTGAGAATGAAAGAGCAACTTTCCATGTATGCATCACTGTCTCCTGAAGGGGACGGCTCTGTGACCTCAACATTAGGGTTATAATAAATTATAATAACCAGCCTCCCTGGAACTGCTCATTCAAATCCGAGCAGGGCTGAGTCAGCCCACTCTCCCTGTGAGGCGGATGCATTGATTTCTATGCAGTTAGCTATTTGAGAGCCTTGAAACCAAAGTGCTGTTTGCTTTGAGTGGATGTGAAAGCTCTCACAGCTTTGCAGCAGAGACAGGACTTGCCCCAGCATCCTAACCAATATGGACCCTTCTGCTCATTGTATGCTGGTGTGGTCCCACGTGGAGGTGGCTGGTTTTCAGCAGTTTGGTGTAGCATAGGAAAGGCTTTGGGATGAAGGGAACTGTATATTCAGAAGAGCAGGGCAGAAGAGGGGGCATTATACTGTTGCAAGTCATAAAGATTCCCTCAGAGCAGTAGAGGCTTTTTGGAGAGGCTGCTGGTACTTTGTGCTCAAGCAGCAACACTTCTCCTTTTAAACCAAGGTTTTAGAGCAGGGAAGAGTAGAAGGAAAGCCAAGTGCAGCCAGAGCAGAGAGAATGTGGTAGAGATGCAGAGTGGTTTTCCACAAGACTTAATCTGCTGTCTCCAAGTCCATAATCCTGGAGGGAGCCACGGCCACGCGCTTTCCCTGCTCATTCCAAGCTGAGATTCCCTCTCACCAGTCTTTCCATTCAGGAGCCTGGATTGACTGACTCATGTCTTGAGAAACATCTGGGATTCTGCTCAGTACAGGGATTCAGTTTCAAGACTAATACCAAAATGACGTCTGGGAGACAGACTAAAAATAGGAGTGAAAATAAGTGTGCTCACTCACGGAAACAGGAATAGTGAGGGAAAGAAAGGAAAGGGGGGGAGGGGTGAACTTAGCTGGCTGGAAGGAAAGGAAGTCCAGCAGAAACACTATCTCACAGCTGGGGAATGTCCCCAGTCAGCCTATATCATTCATCTGGGCTCCAGGTGCAGGCACTCACTGGGACTAGGAAAGAATTGTGGTCTCCCTGGGCCTCCTTATGGCTCCTAAGGAGACCCTAAACTTTCCACTAAGGGGGTTCTCTTCCTTTCAGTGTGGGGGAATGTCAAGCCTGAACTCCATTGAAGTGCCACTCTTCCCCGTTCCCTCCCCCCCAGGCTGAGAGAGAAATTAGGGCTCAGTTTCCTTTCAGTGCTGGGCATTGCTCCAACAGCCTCACTAGTGGATTCCAGTTCTGCCGTGGGGAGAATCAATGCATCCAGCTGTGAGAGGTGCATATTGTCTTGACTCACCATTTCTTTCCTTCACCCAAAGGCACCATCCCTTTCTAGACTGAGTGAAGTTCCCCACACTGCTGCCCCACAGCCCTACACAGCCTCTTCCTGAGATGAGAGGGAAGTTCATTCTCTTTGCTCATTCAGCCCTGGTCTTCCACAGGAAGGCCAGACTAGAACCAGGCCTAACCTAGGAAGGGCTCCCTGTTCTCCATGAATCAGAATGAACAGACCAGCCCTGTTTGAACAACTATCAGGAGGCATTCGAAAGGAGTGATCAGAAGGAAGGCTTCCTGGAATCTTGTTCATGAAAGAACTGGCTTGTCCTCTCTCCAAGCTCAGCTCTGACACTGATTTCCTGTAATAAATTAATCTGGCAGTCAGGCTGTTTAGTCTGCTGGACAGTGCCAGCCACACACATGTCACTGCCAACTCAGGTTGGGGAGGGGAAGAGCCCTCTGCACAGATGTGTTCCCTTTTCAGCTCTTTGCTGTGGCTGTGACACTGGAGGACCTGAAACAAGGGCACTGCTGTTTGGAGAGACTCAGATGCAAGCAAAAAGGAGAATGATGCCTACTGCGTTCTGGGCTAGGCTGTGCAGCTGTTTGCACTTGTGTGGCTGATTGCACTGTAGGTCTGTTCTCATTCTGGACTGTCTTCCACCTGCAGTGTGTTCAAGAGACCTGATTCCTCCTTGCTTCATACTGTACAGTCACTAGTGTGAAGTGCTACCATCCCAAAACTGCAATATCTTACACCCACCTTGCACCAAGGGAGGTGACTCCAACAAGGCTGTGGAGAGACAGCCTCCCATCCCACCTTTCAGTTCCGCCTCTGTCTCTGCAAAACATTCTTGGGTACCAAGGAGACTACAGGAAGGAGCAGGGATTACATGTTGCCTGGGGGACAAAGATTTTATCTTAAAAGGGCTGGGAATGCTGTGAGTAGAGAGAGGCAGTGTCAGGAGGGGATTGCCACACATCACGTCCTCTCAGAAGGCCTCATGTTGGGACAGATCACTTAAGAAAGCAAAGCAGATTTACTCCCAGGAGTTCCTGAGATGGAAAATTTCCCAGAGCGTGACCTCAGGGAGAGCGCCTGTAACCACTTCTGTGCAGACCGAAGTGCCTGTTAAGTGCAGTGACATGACGTGAGGGATAGTCCCAGCCTGGGCAGTAGAAATAAGGTGCCTAGGCAGGAAATGCCACCTTCTCATTCTCTTCTGTCTCTTCTCCCTCCCCAGGCTCTGGCTACCATGCTGCTGAGGCATACAACAATGAAGTGTATGTAGAGGAGACACCCCACACTCCAACCCTGGACTACCGAGGTAACAACTTCTTACTGACCACCCTCATGGCTGTCAGTATCTCCAGCAAAGGTGGTCTCACAGGGCTGGGCACCCAATCATTTAGACTTTGGTATAACCAGCTGTATGCTGCATCATGCTGCTTAAGCCCTTGTCATGAGTCACATACTCCTAGGTAGAACAGCCCCCTTCTGGATAGTTAACATTGGTACCCCTCCTTCCTGCTCTATCCTTAGGTACTAATGAGTAGAGAGATGTAGTTGTATGAGTCTGAAATCAGGCAGAAGGCTGGGTAGAGATGCACCTTGTAAACCAACTCAGTAATGCTCAACATTTTGGCCACGTGGGCCAAATGAGACTTGCGGGACCGCTCCATGGGCCAGATCAGTCCCCACATGCTGGGACTGGGATCAGGCACTGGGGCCCCAAGCCACCTCCACCCAGCCCTGCATGCCAGGATTGGGCCTCAAGCCACCCTGCATGGGAAGACCCATGGGCCTGTGATGACATAGTGCTATGGACTGGATCTGGCCCACAGGCTGGTGGTCGAGCACCCATGGACTGACTGAATCAGAGTTGTATAAAAACTCCCTATAGCATTTGACAAAGTGAGCATTGCTCACAAAAGCTTATGCATCTGATTCTGTTAGTCAATAAGATACACCTCTGCCCTGCCTTAAGTACTCACGTGAGCCCATTACCTCCAATGTGAGCATGTTGTCATTTTCAAAGAATTCATTCTCCCAAGAGCCCTATGAGGCAGATGCTGTTTTCCTCATAGCACAGAAGGGAACTGAGGTGCAGCTTGGCTAAGCAGCCTGCAGGGGCCCTCTAGGAAAGCTGTGGTGGAGTGAGGAATTGAATCCTTGTTTCCCATGGCCTAAACTGGCACAATAACCCCTGCAATACCCTCCCCTCTATGTCTCCTTAGTGCCTCAGTGGTGCTACCCATTAAGCATCCACCATGGAGAGGCAATCTGCTACTCCCCCCGGGGAGGGAATTACCGCAGCAGCCTGGGGACACGCTGTGAACTGTCCTGTGATCGAGGCTTCCGGCTCTTCGGGCAGAGGTCGGTGCAGTGCTTGCCAAGCCGTCACTGGTCTGGGATGGCCTACTGCAGACGTAAGTGCCAAAGACATATGATGTTGTGTGCAAGCATGTGACATTCTGTCTAGTGCCTGAGAACATGCCAGTGAGGTGACCACAGTGCATGGGTTACAGAGGAATCAGGAGAGAAGAAAATGAGCTTACTATTACACACTGCACATGGCTCTGGTACCTGTGCTGCTTCCTGTCCCTGAATGCTGCACCTTGGCTCTACTCGGATCCAGTTTCCCCTCACTACTGGCAGTCCCCACTGGTCTCACCTTGTCAGCAACTGTTTCCCACACCTCTTGTTTGGCTGCTGCCCCTGCAGTACCTATGTTGCCTTCTATTTTAATTGTTATTGGTTTTTACACCACAGAAATCATTTGACAGAGAAGGGACAGGAAGTGGGTAAGGGAGGCCTCCTTTGAAGCTGTATCTGGTTAAAACCAAATGACAGTGTTGCCATCTCTCTCAATTTTATCACGATGCTGTGATAGCTACTGTTTCTTGTAATGCTCCAGCTCCTGGATTCAAGTGATTAGAGAAAATTCAGCTTTGATTGAGAAGAGAAGTTCCTAACTTCACACTCCTAGTTCCAAGCCAGAGCACATGACCAAGACACCTTCCCAGCTCCCAGCACATCAGACAAATAAAATAACTCCCATATTAGTAATTTAATATCATGATTTATGAGCTAGTCTCATGATTTTTTTTGAGGCCTGACTCATGGCTACACTGTGCTGGTGACAGACAGATGATGGCACATGCTGGGAGACCCACCATTCTGTCCCACACTGTGGAGAGATCTGAGGGGCACCCTGGCCCCTCAAGCACACGTAGAGAATCAGTCTCTTCCCCTAAGTTCTTCTAAGACCCCCTTGCTGGAGTGTCTGGCTGCATGCACTATCAGCTCTTTGTCACCATGTCCTTTCTATCTCCTGCTCCCCCTCCTGGAGTTTTTCCATGAGATTTTCTCCTGGAATTCCATCAATTTGGTCATCATGGGGACATTAAGACCTGCAAGCTGTTTGGCCTAAGCAGTCCTGAATCGGATGCTTCCAGCAGTAATATTTCCAACATCTGCTGAGCAGATCTGCTCTTTTTGTTGCAGAGATCCGGTGCCACGTGCTGCTAGCATTGCACTATGGTTCCTACCAGTGCACAGCAGGGGTACTGGTGGACTCTCGATGTGATTATGCCTGCCTCCCAGGGTACCAGCTGGAGGGCGACCGCACACGGATGTGTATGGAAGATGGGCGATGGAGTGGCAGTGAGCCAATCTGTGTAGGTAAATCTCATTCTGCCATCCTTACAACCAGCCCAGCTCACCCTAGGCACATGCTCCAGAATTCATCCCGTGCCTGCTCCACAGAGATTCTATTAGCCACGTGCTATATCTCCCATGTGTGCTTCCAGGGTGCAACTAAGCCCAGATAATCCCAGATCACTACCTCTGGGAACATGGCACTGCTGTGTCAAGGTAATTTCCCCATGGTTTATCCTGCTTCACCTCCTCAAAGGCATTGTTGTCGCCATGGTTTAGGTAGGTTGCGTGCCCCAGGAGCATATATGTTTGCAATGTGGGATAGGCCCTACCTCCCTGTTGCTGGATATTATTGTCCCTCTGGGCTATTACAGCTCTTAAGCCAGGGGCACTGCTGTCTCCCTGGCCTGTTCTGGCTGGCATCCTGACTCCTGATGCCCCTGTGACTTTTATTGTCTCTTTCCAGCATCTCTCCCTCAATCCTCACCCTTTCTGTACTATCCACCTGGCCTACACAGGTACCCTGTTTATTTCTGCTTTGCTTGGGCAGACATTGAGCCCCCCAAGATCCGATGTCCTGACTCACGAGAGAGGATAGCAGAGCCAGAGAAGCTGACAGCCACTGTGTACTGGGACCCCCCTCATGTGAAGGACTCTGCTGATGGCATCATCAAACGGTGAGCAGGAGGAGTGGACGCTCCAACCCTTGGCCCACATGCATTTATGATGGCTTTGCAGCCTTGAAATCTCTGCTTTGGAATCAAAACACTGCAGTATCATGCATCCTGAGGCATGCACACTCTCTCTTTCTTGGTTCAGTGTGACACTGCGGGGCCCAGAACCTGGCTCTGAGTTTCCAGAAGGGGAGCATGTTATTCGTTACACCGCCTACGATCAGGCTTATAACCGAGCCAGCTGCAAATTTGTCATTAGAGTTCAAGGTAAGGGATAAGTCACCCCTGCCCTGTGATACCTGGCTGAAGGGGCAGTCTCACTTACTCCCAGGACAGGTGGGACCTCTAAAGGGCTCCCAGTTCCCCTCAGCCCCAGGGAGGCTCGCTAGCTCTGCACTCTGAAAGATGTGAGTGTATTTCATGCTTCTCCTTGACCCCAGCTTTCCCTTTCACAGTGAGCCGCTGCCCTGTGCTAAAGCCACCGCAGAATGGCTACCTCAGCTGCACCTCTGCAGGCAATAACTATGGCGCCATGTGCAACTACTTCTGTGATGGGGGCTATGATCGCCAAGGAATCCCCTCACGCATCTGTCAGTCCAGTCACCAGTGGTCAGGATCACAGCCTACTTGTGTGCGTAAGTGTTGCAGAGAATCACAAGGAGAGACACATGCAGGGTGATGCTCTCCCCAGGGAAGACTGGCCTGTGTCTTGTGAGGCAACTGGAACAAGGCTGAAGAACCAGACAGCACCCTTAGTGCCACCTGCCATATGTCACATACCCATGTGCCAGGAGTCAAGGCCCTAATATCAGTTAGTAAGGTTCCTTGCTCAGAGCATGGGCTGCCTTCTTGCATGGGCTTCACTGCAACAGGAGTTATATTCCTCTCAGAATAGGAGCTCCCTTATATCTACAGTTGAAGACATTTACAGAAGTGAGAGAGGGCAGAGCCAAGACCCTGTCATATGCCAAGAGGTGGAGAAACTTCACTGTGTCCCTCTCAAACATCAGACTGGTGATCACCCACAGCAGGTAGGAGAGGTTTCCAGTTGTCTCCAGTGCACAGGCCAAGCCTGTGCCCACAGTTCTGCCAGGACTCCTGCAGCCATGCCTGAGGCCTTTGCATCCCACCAGGGGCAGGCGGGCAGACCGTCTTGTTCAGGTGTTCCAAATTCTTGGTTAGGTGCACAGAAGAGAGAGACCCCAGGTCACTCACCACTTGCAGCCTTGTGAAACAACCCCCAAAGGCCCAAATGAGACCTGTCCTGCGGGGAGGGGGTTCAGGTTTTCAGGTGGATGAGACAAGGGGAAAGGAACAGCATAGCACTGCATTCCCTGGTGGTCACCAGGCGTCTCCTTCTGGCTCTGGCTTGGCCCAACAGCCCCTCACTCCAAGTTCACTCCCAGAGTAGAGATTTGATACTTTATTTCTCTTGCTGTTAATGTCACCCAGGCCAGCAGGGAGAGTGCCCAGGGGTAAAGCTGGGCTCTACAGTCTCATGTTTCATTTCTCAGAGACATATCAGGGCCCAAGCCAAGCCCTCAGCCATACCCCCTTGACCTCTGGGAAAGCTGGAATCCATTTTATAACTGGCTTCTCTCCAAATAACAAGCCAGAGCTAAACCCAAACCTGCAGTGGAGCCCTACAAGCCCCTGGGGAAGGCTGCACCTCACATCCGATTGCCCTGTAAACCGAATGCTGCCTGTCTGAGAGCAAATCCCCCTTGTGTCTCCATAGAAACCAGGAGAGTCCTGGGCACAGAATAAGACTAACCCCCAGCCTGCCCTAGACTGTGCTGGACAGAAGGCCCCTGGTCACATCCCTGTATCCACCATTGCTTACAACACCAAGTACTGCTGCTCCTCTCACATTTCCCAGAGGAAATCAAGGGCAAGTCCAGAGAAGCAGACAGAGATCCAGACCCTTACTGGTTTCAGCCACTGGTTCAGATACTGGCAAGCACCTCCTAGTGGGGGCATGCCTGCAGAGCTAACACATTCATCAAATCATAGAGCAGGTGGGCTGGAAGGGACCTCTGTGGTTCATCTAGTCCAGCCCCCTGCTAGAGGCAGGACCATACCTATCCAAACCATCCTATACAATCCAAACCTCAAGAGGTTAGACATATACCTGGCTGGGGGCATCTGACCCCAGTGCTCTTTCCTGCCAGGTACAGGGGGTCAGATTTGATGATCTGCTAACCCAAACAGTCAACCCTGACAATACATTATCCATTATCACAGTAGTGGCCAAAAGGAAGCCATAACTACCTAGCCAAATCTAGAGAGTGGGAGGTTGGTCTCTTTCTGTGGCATTCCTGTGCGCCCAGGGCTGTCCTGGTTTCCATGGACAGACAAGGAGGATTTGTTCTTCAATCAGGCAGATGGAGCCTGCTACATTATCGATGGAGCTTCCTTATTGATCTGTACAGCACAGTCACAGTGAGCGTCACTGCTGCAGGCTAAATATCTACAGAAAGATGGATCCCAGCACCTATGACCTGCTCCCTTGCTACCTCGTGGCTAGAGACTAAAAGCTATCACACATCTACTCAAAGAACCTAGCCTCCCTAGAGACTAAAAGCACCTACAAGCCCCAGCCTGCTGCATTTCTGGGTCCCTTCTCCACAGTCTCAATGTAAATTTCCCTAAGGGCTGTGACTCAGGTCTGTGGGGTGACTCCTCCTAGGGTATTTTCTACCCTGTGCTGGAGCTGCTGGCAACATGCTTCCTGCTGGGAGAGTGAATAGAAATCAGTCTGGGGAAGATGCCTCATCCTGGGGGAGGAGACATAAGTGCTGGTTATGGGGTAGGCAAAGCTAGAAAATGCAGGGAGGGGTGGCAGGGAGAGGGCTCCAGTTGTGCTCAGTTCTAACCTTCCTTGCTTCAGCAATGCAGATCAATGTGGATGTGAACTCAGCAGCGAGCCTCCTTGATCAGTTCTTTGAGAAACGCCGGCTCCTGATTGTCTCTGCTCCTGATCCCTCTGACCGTTTCTACAAGATGCAGATTGCTATGCTGCAGGTGAGGCCCCTTCCCCTGATGTAACCCCCCTCCACACCCCCAGCTAGTGCCTTCTGATCTACTCTGCTCTCCTCCTTAGCAAGCCACCTGTGGGCTGGACCTACGTCACATCACCATCATCGAGCTGGTGGGGCAGCCTCCCTCTGAGGTGGGACGCATCCAGGAACAGCAGCTGTCAGCCAGCATCATTGAGCAGCTCAGGTACCAGCAATAGCTGTTGGGGCAGTGGGGGGAACAACTGCAAAGAGATCAGAGGTAGGACTACAGAGCCCAAAATCAGCTGGTGGCTGTAGCATGTTGATAGTGGAGGGCTTGTGGAGCCACCAGAAGGCTGGTGGAGCACTGGCTGCTTCTAGCGAGAGCTGCTGCTGCTGCCTTTGCTGAGGTGGTGGGGTCATATGCAGGTGGGACTGAAATCCCTGCTGTGATCTCCAGTACTGATGGGGGGAATCACTCCAGGAGACACCTACTGTAGGTAACACACACACCCCAACACTCAAAGCACTGGCTATTCAAACCCTGCCCTGAGTGTGGGGGGACAGCCATAGTGCCCTGGGAAGCTGAATTGCCAGCACTGCTGCCTTGAGCTGTGCAAGGTTGGAAAGAGAGACAAGCCCTGCTGCTGTACCATACTACAGCATGTGGCTGTGGATGGAACATACCAAGCTACTCGGAATAACCTATGGTCTCTGCAGCCGTCCTGCACCAACAGGAGATTGGCCTGGGAAGCACTGACCTTGGAATGGCAGCTAGAGAGCAGGGCAGGTAGACTGTGGTCATTTAGACAAGCAAACAGCACAGGGTTGTGTTGCCAACAAGACAGGAGGTGCTAAACTCTCACCTTCTGGAGCCCCTTGCTCAGCAGTGTGCACAAGCCTAAAGCAGATGGTCAGGATGGTCTGTGAACTGGGGGCAGCTTCACCAGGGTGAGGTGTAAACCCTGCCATAGAGGGGCAGTGGTGATGGATGTCCTGGCTCTCCCCTCCTGAGAGCTGCTGGTTCTCACCTGCTCACTCCCCTTGGCTTCCGCAGGCAGTTCTTGCAGATCACCCGCTCCCGCTTTAACATGGTGCTGGTGGACAAACAGGGTACGGATCGTGAGCGCTTCATCGAGCCGATTGACACTGACCAGCTCTTCGACTTCATTGACACTTACCTGCTGAGCAGCCAGGAGGCCACCCGGCATGCAGAAAACAGGGACTTGTGCGAGTGAGCTAGTGCTGCAATGGCAGGGCGGGGGGGGAAGCTTAGCATTGGCCACTGGGGGAAAATGATGTCCTGCCCCCTCCTGAAACTCAGATCCCCCACAGCCTCAGAGGACAGGGTTCCTTCACTGCTTTTTAGCTCTCCATAGTGAAAGAAGCAGCAGAGTCAAAGGTCAAGAATGTTCATGGTGGAAAGGGACCAGCTGGTTCAAGCTGCTAGCACACTAGCCTTTCACAAGGAGGCTGAGAAAATACATTTGGGCACTGTCTCCTCCTTCCCACCCTGCCCATTCAGCTACTGCTTAGGCCCAAGTGATGAAGTAGCAGGGAAACAGCAGGTCAGGCAGGAGGATCTGGGGCTATGTCAAGCCTGGTGGTACCTGGCAGAAGTATAGCAGCAGCATATGCTCTTGATTGGTCTTTTTCCAACCCGCCTTATTTCTTAAATGCCCAAGTTATGTAAAATACAGCAAGTGTGCTATGAGAGTAGGTCAGCACCTGACAACAGGGCTACCCAGAGCAGCGCAGGCTGGAGCACTGCTCCCATGAGGGGCCTGTGCAGCACTAGAGAGATTTGGAACAGTTTCCCCTGGGAAGAAGATGTCTGTTTGATGTTTGAGAACATTTAGCAGGAACAGCAAGAATTAGATGTCAGATACAAAGATTCTGCTTTGCCTAAACCCAAACACATGCATGATAAGGCTAAAGATCAGAAAAAGAACAGGGCAGGGAGCTGTCCCCAGACAAGGACAGAGGGCAGTTAGTACCTGGGTTTAGCAAGAACAGCTTGAACTGGACTGCAGGCTTGAGGGAGAATACTACTTGCTGCTCTCCTCAAGCACCAGATATAATCTCTACTGGGCAGTCCCACTTCATTTAGCCCTGGAGCATCTTGATCATATTGTTCTCTTGTCTAGAGATTGTACATAGGCCCCAGCAATGTTTAGGATGTAGGAAACTGACCACAAAGCATGGTTTAAAGTGTTTTTTAACTCTCTTCGCCTCCCTTCTCTTTCCAAGATGCAGGTGAGCAACACTTGCTGCTGCCCTGACAGAGCTATACTGCAACAAACTGCTGTACCTCCCTATTTCTAGAACAGCTGTGTGATAAAGCACACTGGTTCATCACATGCATAGTCCATAGCAAGACCAAGATCAATGACAGGTAGGGGCAGAGAGGAGCCTGCTGGTGCACGAGCCATTCCCATCCTAACCCAGCAGCGACAGTTGCATCCTCATCTCCATCTTCTTGCTTCATATCCATGTTCCATTAATTCACCTCCTTGGGGCAGCATAAGGACTCTCCTGCTGTACAGGCAGCAATGGTAAGAAAGCCTTTATTAAAAACAGATGGCCCTTTGACAAGCATGTGGCAGTTACAGAAACGTGCACAGTACATTAGACAGCACAGAAACCATCCTCCTGAACAATTGCTCTACATGGAGTTTAAACTTCCGTCCCAGAATCTGCTCCTCCTCTCCACCTGGCAGTGCCAACACCTCCCTGGGAAATGGGTTTGACAGTTGAATGTTAATTTAAATGAATAAATTTGTATAACTTAGCTGGCAGGAGCATGCCGTGTAGCAGGCAAGTTGCCCTTCTAGCTCTGATCTCCAGCCACAAGCTCAATTCAACAATGCCCCTGCTTGCGAGGGAAAGAGAGCCCTAAAGTTGGTTTTAGAACCACTATCATACAGTCCCTCAACTCCATTCCCTTCTGTCAGCGGCAAAAAGACATGAAGATGCAGCCTGGTCAGGTCACACTACTATAAACTGGGGCTTGTGCCTTCCACACACTTTCCCATCATCAAAACTCATTCCCATGCTCTCCACACTCTTGCTTGTTGCACCCATGCAGCCTCCAGCTTGTACAGTCAGACTGTCAGCACCATTCAGAGCTATCCCAAGAGGAGCAGGGAGGGGGAGGGGGAAGGGGAAGCAGGGGGTAATGGAGACTGCAGCGAGGTACATGGGATGGGGAACGGTGAAGAAACTGAAAAACAAGTTAAAAAAAAAAGAGAGAGAAAAGAGGCCTGCAGCCCCTGGGAAGGGGAGGGTCCACATGGAAAAATCTTCAACTCAGAGGAAAAATCCCTTTAAATAAAAACAGAGCTGCTGCCAAGAACAATTGCTTCGAATGAGCCTGGATAGAGACAACGAGCTTTAGCACTAGATGAGCAAAAGCAGGGGCTGCTGCTATGCCACTGTTCCCCACCCCCTTTGGTACCGTGGTTTGGAGTCTAGTCTGCTCAGCTGGTGCTGCCCTGTTCAAGCTGGTATCCATTCCAGTGCCGGTGGCAGCTACATCCTTGCCTTAGCCATGGTGGAGCGGAGTTGCAGTGTTCCTTCAGCCCAGGATCCAGGGTACTGGCGCATCTTCTGCCACAGGCTCACCTCTTCCCCCGTGGAGTCCATCCAGTCCACCACCTGGCCATTACTCATGCCTGAAAAGAGGCAGCAGACGCTAGTTTCTGCATGGGACAGCTCGATTTCCAATCCTACAGTGTGCCCCCTCAGCTCAACAGAACAGCCTCCTCTGGCCACAAGATGGGGTGCTGCAAATGGCCAGTGACTGCAGCACTGAGAGGAAGCATATTTTCCAAGGGGTTTCCAAACAGTATGGGTGCCCAGTATGAAAAGGAAGAGGAAGGGACAGAGCAGGAGGAGACCCACGTAATGGGGCCAGGTAACAGAGGTAGCAGAGCTGACCTACCAGTAACAGACTGCATAAGGGGCAGGAGGCAACCACACAGGCAGTGGTGATGTGTAGGGGGTGCAATGGGAGTGCTGGTGCACCCTGTCAGGCCACGCTCCCCATTTAGGCAACAGGCAGGGTGGCAGGCAGAAGTGTTGGTGCCCCCCCTGTGAGCACCAGCCAGGGAGTGGGGCTGCCAGCAAAAGCAACTGTGCCACTTCCAGTAGTGGCTACAGGACTTCTGTAAAAGTGGCGTGGCCACTTTTTGGTGAGTGAGATCGGCTGTGGGGAACACCCCCACCCCAGTCGCTTACTCAAGAGGCACCAGTCACCCATACACACAGGGATTGGGACCACAGAACTCACCATTCCCAATTCCAAGTCTGACTCCTCCCAGGAAGTCATTGCTGGCCAATGGCTCACGGTCCCAGACAGTCAACTCCAGACAGATATGCTGCAAGTCCTCCGGGTTGATGCGATTGTACACAAAGGTGTGGTTGTAGTGAGGGTTCAAGGTCTTCTTTGCTACAGGTGTCTTCCTCTTGGTGCCCTTGTTTCTGTGTGGCAGCAGGTAGCTGTGGGAAGAGGTCCTTACTGTCAGTAATCCCCACAGGCAAAATGCTCTTAAAACTGCAGATGTGGGTGAGTTAGACTTTTGTGCAGTGTTACAGAAGCTTTATCACATGGCATGGCAGGGAAGACTGCAACTAAAAATGTGGGGCTTGGGCACATCACCAAGCAGAGGATGGCACCTTAAGGGGACTTTGGAACAGAATGGGGAAGAAAGACCAGGGCAGCTCAGGATACTGTAGTAGGCTGTGGGGGCTCCTTTGAAATTAAGCCACTCCCCTTTCCACAGCAGGCATCAGGTCTTCTCAATATCTGTAGCGTGCGTGCCCAAGTGTGACAGAACCTCAGTTCCAAGTGGAGCCAAGTATGCAGAGTCCTGGGCAGCAAGAGTGTGAATGGCCAGATACAAAATTACTGGTTAGTTTTGTGATCTCAGGGAAGAGATTTTCACTGCAACTCCCAACAGAGGAGCCCATTCTGGGGTGTAGGTCCCTTGGCTTCTATCCAGGTCGGCAACAAGAATGAACTTCCCCTCGTCCCTTCTGGAATGACTCCTCCCTGGTTGGCACTTGCAGGAATCTACAAGACACACTATGAACATCTGGTCAATCACACCAGATGACAAAGCTAACTTATTTAACAATTTCTTTGCCTCCATTTTCCCCAAGCAGTGACCGGATCATCCTCCCCCATGGGACCCCCGCAGGCCCCAGGGGAGGCACACCCAGGCCTAGGGTCAGTGAGGACTTAGACAGGGAACTTCTGGAGGGACTGCACGTATTTAAAAAAAAAAATCAGCTGGTCCTGACAATCTCCACCCCAGAGTGCTGAGGGAATTAGCAGAGGTTGTTGCAGGACCCCTGGCACAGCTTTACAAGCACTCATGGTGCTCTGGCATGGTGTCAGAGGACTGGAAGAGGGCCAGTGTAGTTCCCATTTTCAAAAGGGGGAGGAAGGAGGACCCAGGAAACTATAGGCCCATTCGTCTTACCTGGGTCCTGGGGAAGCTTTTTGAGAAAATTATCCTGGTGCATGTCCACAAGGGGCCAGCAGGGGAGATTATGCTTATGGGCAACCAACACGGGTTCGTTAGAGGCAGGTCCTGTCAGACCAACCTGGTGGCCTTCTATGACCAGGTCACAAAATCCTTAGATGCAGGGGTAGCAGTGGACATAGTCTTTCTGGACTTCAGGAAGGCCTTTGACACCGTCTCTCACCCCGTTCTCATTAAAAATCTAGGAGACTGTAGTGTCAACACCTACGCAGTTAAATGGGTCACTGTCTGGCTGGAGGGCCGCACCCAGAGACAGTGGTGGTGGACGGGTCCTATTTGACCTGGAGGGATGT